AAAGTCCAACTGCTATATTTTAATGTGCATGAAAAGGCATGGTTGGGAACATGGTCAGTGCACACTTTTAAAACCCATCGAGAGGTTTAGAAAAACATTAGTTGACCCAGGGTCTCATGTTAACCACCATGGTATACTCATTGTTTTCAATTTTAAATATTGCCTTTTGTTATCTGGAAGTTGAGTCCTGGCAACTGAACTTCTTTCTCATTAGGTTGAAATGTTTTGCTATTCATCCAAGTCGCTTTTTCAGTCTGAGGAGAGTTGGTAGGAGACCTCTGACATATCCTACAGGATGGTTTGACTTTCCCCTGGTCTGAATAGGCTCCTGAGATGAACAAAGGATGGGGGAGGGGGGATGAATGAAAACCCTGCTTCTGCAGTGCTTCATCCATTGTCATGGGTCGTTAACAGTGGTCTTTCTGGTGTGTGTGGTCCTAATCTTTCTGGGGAGGGATGAAAGGGCAGTATGGTAAATAGGAGACAGGTGGTATCTAAGGCCTCCACCCCTATTGAATGAGGGATTTTCTATAGGCACATGTATGGCCTCCCTGAACCCTCTCTCAAACTACCTATCTTCTCAGTCCAAAATGAATACATGACAATGGGTGGAGAAGGACTGCAGAAATGGGATTTTCACTCACCCCTGATACAGTACTTTGTCCTTCTAATGAGCCTATTCAGACCAGGGGAAAGGGAAACCAAGGTGGAGGATATATCAGGGGTTTCCTATCAACTCTCCTCAGACTGAAGACGCTACTTGGATGAGTAGTAAAACGTTTCAACCTAATAAGAAAAAAGTCCAGTTGCTGAGACTCAACTTCCAGATAACCTCACCTGGATGACTGGGAATTTTCACAAATATATTGTCTTTCATTGTTTGCGTCCTTTTTAAGGAGAAAGGCGGGGTATGAATAAATGAATGTACCATTAGATCTATGGTAGCCAGTTCACCATTCCCATTAACATCTTTAGTCTTCAAAAACTAGGCGCTGGCTGATAACACTTGTGCTCTACTTCAGCAGTCAGAGAACTGAGGTATATAATTTCACCTGAGAGTTTCTTTTCCCAGTTTGAGAACCTCACCCTTCAGAGGCTCCAGCTACTGAGTATGAGTCTTTCTTGTTCCCCTAGATATTGCTGCAGCTGTTGAAATGCAGACCAAACACAGCTTTCTGTCTCTCACTGTTTATCTGTTGCTAGAGTAAGGAGAACAGAAAAGATAGTGAAGCTGGAGACCAGGGCAGAGGTATAGAATCATAGTGAATATTCACACATTCTCCAGGACAGCATTACACCACTTCTGAATCTCACTAATGCATATCAGAAAGACTAATCAAATCATGTTAATACATTGGAAATAAAAAAAAGCATTACCATATGGCCCATAATTTAAATACAAGAAAAGCGGGTTGATGGGGCACCAACCAAATGTAAGCTGCTACGAGGACAGCTTCTCTCTGTAGCAGTACCATGGGCTGTGTGTTTTGATAATGGAAAGTGTTAAATGAACTGTTTGCTGGGTGTGTACAGTTTAATTGTACAGTGTGTACATTTTAAAAGACAGAGAGAATCAACTGATTGCAAATCCCTGAAAAAACTATCTGTAAAGAGCTGGCCATGCAAG